TAAACAGTTTATTCTCTTTATAAACCTTCAAATAAGTTTTATGAGTTCCTAACAGAGACAAAGGCAAAAAAAAAAAAAGGCTGCCATTTGCCAAAGTAAAGCAAACAAAAACATTTCTGAAGTCACTCACTGGTGTAATAAATACAAAGTATTTATAGCAGAAGAGTAGGCTAGACATAGTTTGGATCTTCAAACATTAGAAGTTCCAAAGATACCAGAGGTACAATTCACAAACGAATCATAACAAAACCTCCCCAAGACTAATATACACCTTAAACAAGCAATGGTCTGGGTTTGTTCACTAAACTCTAAGCTTTCACGCTTTCAACACCGCATATTCTTGTTCCTGGTATCTCCTTATTACTCAAGTCACTCAACAAGCACTGATTAAATAACACTTAAGGCCAAGCACAGTGCCGGGGTATGTAGCAGAACAACATAAAAAAGCTGACTTTGTGATCTTGTGGCAGAAACAGAACGCATAAAGATTCAAGGTTACAGTGTAAGCCATAAAATGTTTTCAGATTCCTGTGCCCTTGATTACTGTTTCTTTGATGCTGACATCTTTATATAGTGTTACTGTGGAAACTGTATGTACAAGATGGGTAGAAAAAGCAAGGACTAAGGATCAGGAAGCTCACATTCTTTCTGTGGTCTTGGGCCAGACACTGAGCCTCCGCTGGCCATTAGAAAAATGACAGGGTTAAACTTTCCAGTTCTAAAACTCTGATTCTCAATCTGAAATAGTTTTTAATGAAGTCTTTTGGGATTTTAGTAGACATGATAATCTAATGCTAGATGCTTCCATGTACTTCCAGTTTCAGAAAACCAAGTAAGTTAAACCACACCCTAAATACCTCTCACTCTAGAGAGCGCTTTTAATGACCGTTCGATCACCTATTAGGAGTCCATCTTTCATGAAAGTGTTCCTTAATTTTCTTTTCCAACAATATGTCCTGTAATCCACATATGATCCAATTACAAAAATTGATAGGAACACATCTGTATATATTCTAAATGTGTATGTATTCTAAAAGTCCACATCATTCTTCTGAGAATAGTAAAAGAGCTTTGGATAAATAAGCACGTTAAAAAATACCAGACAGGTCAAATGGTCAACTGAATTCTAATTCATTAGGTAAGGTAAGAGAAGGCGGCTTTGTGGAACTGCATAAGGTAAGTTGCCCCTTCTCAGCACCAGCTGAATAATTTGTGGGGCCCAGTACAGAATGAAAATGCAGAACCCTTAGTTCAAAATTATTAAGAATTTCAAGACGGTGGCAGCAGAGCACTATATCAGGCACAGGGCCGTTCCGAAAGCAGGATCCTGTGTGACTGCACAGGTTGCATGCCCATGAAGTTGGCGCTATTCCTCCTTAATGCTAACCCAAACATCTCCTCAGTAACAGCCCATTACGGAGCTAGACGTAGCCAATCATTTCTTTAAGCACTTAAAAATACTATACCCAGTGGTTTACTGTCCTACTTCTAGGATAAAGGACTATATAGAGCACACTGGCTGAGAGCAGACGACATTAATTCACCATGCCAGGGTTTAAATCCCACCTCTACATTCCTGCCTGGGTGGCCTCAGGTTAAGTTACTTAACCTCTAACCTCTCTGGCCTCAGTTTCCTCATTTTAAAAAAAGGAATAACACAACTCACCTCAGTTACTAACATATGTTTAAAATATGAGTTAATATGTGCTCAGCACATACTAAATGCCACAGGAACTAAATTAACTATTATTTATTACCTGGAAACAGTTTTCACACACAGTTAATCCAAAAGGCAAACTTTAGCTTTCAAAAACTGTCCTTTAATTATGGACAAGGTTTGAAAAAGCACTTCACAAAACAGACTATTCAAATGGCCCAAAAACATACGAACTAATAATCACTCTAACTAGTAGGGAAATACAAATTCAAATTACAATCAGTTTTCACAATTCACCCACCAGAATGGCTAAAATTAAAAAAAAAAAAAAAGAGAGAAGAGAAAAAAGTCTTGCCATCATGTTGAACAATTGAAACTCTCATCCATTACTGGTAAAAGGGTAAATTGATCAATCTTTGGCAAAATGTTTGGCAGTATCTACCAAAAGTGAACACTGACACAGCCCATCACCTGCTTCTCTAATCTCAAGAATACCCTCAACAGAAATATGTCTAAATATGTCTACCACCGACATGTACAAGAATTTTCATAGCATCATTACTGATAATAGCCAGAAACTGGAAATAACCCAAACACTCATCAACTGTAGAATGAATAAGCTAATTGTGTCATATTCATAAAATGTAAGGTGGAGTCAAATGTCAAATGAAGCAACTTCAGCTATACACAACTTGATGAATCTTACAGAAATATTATTTAGCCAAAGAATCTAGACACAAAGAAGACATAGTACAGAAACTTATATGAAAGTCAGAAACAGACAAAATGAATTTAGTGTGTTTCAAGTCAGGATAATGCTTGTATTTCCAAAGAATGCTTACATTTTAGAGAGGGGTGGAAAGCGGGCAGGACTTCTGTGGTGCTGGCATTGTTCTTAATTCATTCTATGTGGCAGTGATCTTGGTGTGTTTATTAGTAGAAATTTATTAGCTCTGTATGTATGATGTGTTCACTTGTCTTATTATTGTATACTTCAATAAAATATTAGGAAATAAAAAAAATTGTCCTTTAATTAATAATTCAATTCCTCAAGTATTTATTAAACACTTACTCTAAACTCAGCAATCTTCCCTTGGCAGTTTTGCTCCTCCCCCCTTCAGTATCGTTTGTTATTCACTGGCTATTCCGGCCTTCTTACGGAAAAAAAAACTTCACTTGATCTTCAGCATTGTTATGCGTATTTTTCAAGAAACTTGAAAAAAGTAAAAGATTTCGGAATAATACAAAAAATAATAATTGTAATGACACTTATTTGAATTTTATACTTACATCTTAGTACTATTCTTCCTATAACTTTTTTGCTCTTTTAATAATGGATAACCAAGTGAGAGCAGTTAAACACAGATTACTGAAATGCAACGTTATGGATTCGATTTTTTTTTTTTCCAGAAACCATCTCATATATGCTGCATTCTCTTGTGGCAGTCAATAAAAACCTTTTAACAAATAGTTTATATTCAATTACTGGCACAAAAAATAAAATGTTCCTGGCAATAAAATTTCATTGAAATTGACATTTATATTTTAAGTTTGTAAATTATTCTAAGGCCTTTGTCGTTGTCAGGTGCCATCGAGTTGGTTCTGACTCATAGTGACCCTATGTACAACAGAACAAAACACTGCCCGATCCTGTGCCATCTTATATACCTTCAATTTATGAAATTTTAATTGTTAATAGTTTTCCCTATTTATAGCAGTATAAAACACAAGATTAAAAAGTAAAATGCTACTCAAGCCTGCATGCCTGTATGGTGGAACTACGGTTAAGAGAGAGTTCTGAGTTTTACATGGTAACTTTTAAGTGTTCAAAAAATTGGAAAAATATTAGCAACAATCCCATTAACCAAAAGGATGCTTGCCGGAAATTCAAAAGTAATCAACTATCTCAATCTGTACATGGTCCCTGTATACTATATGAAACAAAGAGTTCTTACACTTTGAGACAAGTTACCTGATAGAAGAAACAACAGGAAATATTTTTAATTTAACTGCTTAATCTCTGAACAAAATTATCTTAAGATAAAAAGTGACAATACAGCACAAAAATAGGTTGCAGGTTTGGGGTTTGGGTCTCTAAAAAATATACAGGTAAGCAGTGTGTCTGTCTGTGATTGAAGATAAAATGGCCAAAAGTTTAAAGTTTTTTTCTTTTCCTTTTTGCTAACATGAGAGGCCAACTAATCCAGTGACTAGCGAAAGGAATCCTTGCTCATTACAAGTAAAATCTAGAGTAGAGTCCATTTAGTGGATTAAGAATGACTGCTTCATTTCTTCTCTTATCAGGAATGACAGAAGACTCCCCCAAACTCAGATTTGTACATACACAACCTCTCATGCATGACGAAACAATACAGAAACTAAACAAAATCAAAGAATTAATGGGTAAAGGTATTAAGCAATTACGTACCTGCCAAGCAACCTCTCAATTAATATGCCTTCCCTTCCTTGCTCACATCTACCATTCTGAAAACCGAGTTACAGCCCTAAGTCACTTGGAGAGTCGTTAACATCCATGCTTTGATGTAAAAATACCAATTAAATAAACCGCCAATCACTTTTAGGCCAAATGCAAATGGGGCTGTTCCTGGTCCTTACGTGGAAGACCGGGAAACTCAAGACCCATTACTGTCAGAAGCTGCCTTAGAGACCACTGGTATGGATGTCTCATCTGGGGGCTAGAACAGGGTGAGGAGAAAGTTACAAGGCAGGCTTCAGAACTCGGTGGGTGTAGGTTGAGGGCGCATACACACGTAAACTGCTCTTCACCCCGAAATTTATTAATGCTGTTAAAGCTACGCCAGGGTTTTAACCCGGTCTGCGCGGGCGGGGGGGGGGGGAGAGGGGGGACGTGGAGCCGGTAAGTACCATAAACTGGTGGTTATTTCCTGGTTAGTGTACGACGGGTAATCGTGATGCATCCATTTTCCGCTGTGTCGTATTCCCCAGTAGCCAGATGCGCTGCCCCCTTCCCTGGAGGACACCAGCCCCGATCCTGGCCTGCCTGCCGCCCCTATGCCCGCAACGAAGTGAACCCGGACCCGCACCAGGCTCCTTCCTTGGCCCCCAGACCCAGGGATCCGGCGCCATCTAGGTCCAGGTGTTGGGAAGGAGGCCCAGGCACTCGGGGAGCCGGCCCCGTGCCGGGAGCGCACGGAAATGCCTTCTCCCCGCGCCCAGGGTTCCTGCTCGGCCAGGCCCAACCGGAAGAAGCCCTCGGGCGGCCACAGGGCTCGGCCGGGCCGCCGGGCTCCAGGCCGCGCTGGGCCTGCGAGGCAGCGAGCCGGGGTAGCGGGCTAGGGGCGGCCGGCAGGGCGCCTCTCACCGTGTGCTCATGCTCGTCCGCCTGGGCCCGGGGCAACAACAGCAGCAACAGCGCGGCGGCCGCCGCCACGCCGGGAGCACCCGGCAGCGGCCTCATCCTCCGCGCTCCCACCGGCCGGGCGCCGGCCCACCGACTCCTCCGCCGCCGCTGCGGCCGATTCGCATCCACAGCTCGCGGGCAGACGCACGGGTCCGGGGCCCAGCCGCAGCCTCCTCCGAGCTGGCGCCGCCGCCGCCGTCACCGCCCGCTCCCGAGCCTCCCTCACCCCCCCTACACCTTCTCTGCCTCTTCCTCTGACTCAGCCACGTCATCCGGCCACCCCGGCACACGCCGGAAGTACCTCGCGACGCGTGGCCGCAACCGCCGTCGGGCTCCCAGCCCGGGACATACGAGCTTGCGGCCGCAGAGGGTCCGTGCTCGGTCGCCCCCGCGCCCCCCGCCTTGCCCACGCGCCGCGCCCCCGGCTCCAGGAACGGCGGCGCGGCCGGCCTAGCGGGTGCTCGAGAGGCCGCTGCGCAGGCTCGGCCTCGTGCTGTTCGCAGGTGGCCTGGCCGGCACCTCAAAGCTGAAGCCGCTTCCGGGCCTCGTCCTGGCCCCAGTTGCGTGACTGTAGCCAAAACGCTTAACCTTCCCGCGCCTCATGTTCCTCGGCTGTAAAATAGGGCTGATCATCTTACCTGCCTCCCGCCTCTTGAGCTTGGGGGATCAGATAAACTAACCCTTTCCAGGCACACGTCTACTGCCGTGAGTGCATCACGAGCTCTTACAATCTTCATTATGGGAAATTGGTAAACTTGTACATGGGTGGATCAGTGTTTTAAAGTCACTGAATACTTATTGGACCCCCTACGATTCAATCAAGGAATGTTGGGCTAGGTTGAAATTCCTGTTCATTTATTTACTTGTTACTCGTTGGTCCTCCGTCCACAGACATAAACATGTCTTACAATGGAAGCTCTCCAGAGCAGGGATCTTATTCACTGCCATATTTCTTGTCCCTAAAATAGTGCCAGGCCCCGTAGTACCCGTTGCTGTGGATTCCAACTCTTAGCGACACTGTAGGACAGAGTAGAACTGCCTCATAGGGTTTCCAAGGCTAAAATCTTTACGGAAGCCGACTGCCACATCTTTCTCCTGAGCAGCGGCTGGTGAGTTGGAACTGCCGTCCTTTAGGTTAGGAGCCGAGTGCTTAACCACTGTGCCACCAGAACTCAAGAACCCATAGTAGGAACTCAAAATATATTTGAGTAAGTATATGTGTATAGTATTACCAGCTACACAGTCGAAAAATCTGGAACTTGTCCTCAGATTGATTGCCTTTTCTTGTCAGCCATCAGCACTCAACAAGTTCTGGCATTTGGTCTCTTAGAAATGTCTCAATTATTTATTTTTCCTCTCCTTCCTCTGCCAGTAACAGCCAATCTTCCACATCTCACTGTCTCCTAATAGGATCCCTGCCACCAACCTTTCCTCCTTGTTAATTCTCCCCAACATGTGCCAGAGGGATCTTTCTAAAAAGAAGCCTGATTATATCACTCTCTTGCATAAAACACCCTTGAATATTGGTTAAATAAATCATGGAATCACAGCTAAGATATATTGAGCACATTTCATCTACCAGGCACTATGCTGAGCCCGTTACGTGTATTAATTCATTTAACTCTCACTGTAACCCTATGCAAATAGGTACTAGTGATGTGCTCGTTTTATAGATGAGGCAACTGAGGCACAGAGAGGTCAAGTGACTTGCTGAGAGACCAGACCCAGGCAGTCTGGTTCCAGAATGTGTCTCTTTACTGCTAATGGGCTATCAACCATACCAAAACCAACCAAACCCGTTGCTGTTGAGTTGATTCTGACTCATAGCGACCCTACAGGACAGAGCATGGCTGCCCCACAGGGTTTCCAAGGAGCGCCTGGTGGATTTGAACTGCCGACCTTATTGGTTAGCAGCCGGACCTCTTAACCACTGCACCACCAGGGTTTCCACCAACCATACAGCCATTTTAAAAAATGAAGCAGATCTCTATGCACAGGCATGGAATGACATCCAAGAGATACTTTTAAATTAAAAAAAAAAATTAGAGTATAATTTCATTTTGAATGGCCATGTTAGTCTTCCTGTAGAAATTAATCTGAAAGAGTATGACTCAAACCATTAACGGGGTTAACTTTCTACTTTGTACACATCTGTGTTTGTTTTTTTACAACCAGCATGGGCTACATATGTAATCTGAAAAATATATATGTTTCTTGCTAAAGGATAAAGTCCAAATTCTTTAGCCTGTTATAAATGCACCTGCACATTCATACACCATTTGTCTCCCCAACTTTACCTCCCACCAATCCCTGTGTTCCAGCTTCACGCGTATATTTCCCAAATACACCATGCTGTTTTGCACCTCCGTGACTTTGCTCTTGATGTTCCCTTTGCCTAGACTGCCCTGCTTCTTGATCACTAGATATCACCCTTTCAGGCCTAGCTGACTTATTACCTCTCCAGTGAAACCTTTGCACAATTCCCTTGGGTAGCTGAGCATCGCTTCTTCAGGATTCCAATAGCATTTGGAGTACTATGTCATAATTATTTACCTTTATATCTGTCCCAGCTGCTGGGATAGTGCTTATCACATGATAGACATTCCATAACTGTTTAATGAAAGAAAAAATGAATGAAGACATTAACAAGTGAAAAGTCAAATAACAGCAGGATTTACATAACACTTTCTAGCCAGTGTAAGAGACATCACAAAGCAGTACATGATTAATTGCTGGATGAATCGTGAATCATACAGGCAGTAATTGCTATAGAAGTCAGAGAAGGCGTCTTATACGTCTTTTTATATTCCCCAGAGCACCTACCACAGTGACTTGCTCATCGTGGAAGCTCAGTAAATGCTCCATGAATGAATAATCACCGCTTTTGAATGAAGTGGTGATGGGCAATTGAAGAACAAGCAATGTAAGTGCCGAATAAAAATTGGTGGGTAGTTTCTTGCTTAAACATCCATCACCGGCCTCCACAGGTTTGACGTAATAAGTATGTGTTTTGTGGGGAGCACTGGGCTGGCAATTGCTTGGGGGTGCCAAGTATATAGTATTAATTTGAGGAAGAATAGTCTTACAACCAGGAATCATTCCACACATAACAGAGAACAGCCATGACAGTGTATAAAAGAGAACTGCAAAGAATGTGACCAACTGTCCAAATATTTGACAGGCAGTAAGAGCGACAGGCAATCAAAAAAGGGGAAACCGTATTTAGGTGGAATATTTGGGAAACTTTAATGGAGGGAAGAGGATTTATGGCCATTAATTCAACAACTATTAAGCATCTGCTATGCCAGGAACTCTGGTAGGTACTAGGAGTATGACGATAATAAATAGCATTAGGTGGTAATAGTTTAATAACAGCTCGTATAGGAAGAAGGAATAGGAGAGAAAGTAACTGATTAGAGGAAAAGAAGGAAAGTGGCTTCAAAGATCCTTGGAAACTGATGACCTCAAGGCCACAAAACAGGGCAATTAAGGTTGTTAATTTCTTTGTGCATTTCCCATTTCACTTGTCTCTCACAGTTTTTAACTGATCTGTTATAACAATGATATAGGGCAAGGTCACTTATTTGAAACAGCAGTTGCCACATAATAAAAAGATTCCTTGCCGGTTAGGTAGTATGACTCCAGTAAGGTTTGTCTCCCTGTTTCTTTGGAGTGAGGGATTCTCTGCACCTTGCCAGACACTTACAGAGTTGAGGGGACCTGGAGTATTACTGGTGGTGTAGTGGTTAAGCATTCAGCTGCTAACCAAAAGGTCGGTGGTTCATAACTAAATAGTAGATAAGAATTACCTTAGGTGAAGGGAAGGACAACACACAAAACAGGGGAAGTCAGCACAACTGGACTAAACCAAAGCTAAGAATTTTCCTGAATACAATCAAACACTTCGAGGGACAGAGTAGCAGGGGCGAGGGTCTAGGGACCATGGTTTCAGGGGACATCTAGGTCAATTGGCATAACAAAGTTTGTTGAGAAAATGTTCTGCATCCCATTTTGATGAGTGCCTTCTGGGGTCTTAAAAGCTAGCGAGTGGCCATCTAAGATGCATCAATTGGTCCCAACCCATATGATGCAAAGGAGAATGAAGAACACCAAAGACACAAGGAAAACATTAGCCCAAGAGACAGAAAGGGCCACATAAACCAGAGACTCTGTCTGCCTGAGACCAGAAGAACTAGATGGTGCCTGGCTACCACCAATGACCACCCTGACAGGGAATACAACAGAGAGTCCCTGACTGAGCAGAAGAAAAGTGGGGTGCAGAACTCAAATCCTAGTAAAAAAACCAGACTTAATGGTCTGAGACTGGAAGGATCCCTGAAGACATGGCCCCCGGACTCTCTGTTAGCCCAGAACTGAAACCATTCCTGAAGCCAACTCTTCAGATACAGATTAGACTGGACTATAAGACATAAAGTGATACTCATGAAGAGACTGCTTCTTAGCTCAAATAGATACATGAGACTAAATGGGCAGCTCCTGTCTGGAGGCAAGATGAGAGGGCAAAAAGGGACAGGAGCTGGTTGAATGGACACGGGAAATCCAGGATGGAAAGGAAGAATGTGCTGCCATATTATAGGGAGAACAACTAGGGTCACATAACAGTGAGTGTATAAATTTTTGTATGAGAAACTAACTTGAACTGTAAACTTTCATTTAAAGCACACTTTTTTTTAAAAAAAAAAAGGTCAGTGGTTCAAATCTACCTACCGTTCCTTGGAAACCCTATGGGGCAGTTCTACTCTGTCCTATAGAGTCGCTGTGAGCCAGAATTGACTTGACAGCAACGGGTTTAGTTTTTTTGGTTTGGAGTATTACTAATTACAAACGTACTCGTTTCATAGAAGTTGAAACTCAGGCCCAGTGCATGGACAAGTTATGTGAACTCAGCTAGTAGCAGACCAGAATAAAAACCAGGTTTCCTGACTTCCAAGCCAATGCTCTCTTTCCTACATCATGCTCATGCTGAATAGCTAGCTAAGACATTTCTCGTATATTGTAAGTTAAATAGGCTTTAGTGGGCTGGGAACCTAACTACTGTTTATTGCAGTTTCTATGAGAAAACGAATTCCGAGTTGACCTACTCATCCTCTCATCCAGCAGGCAGGTATGAGGAAGGGCATTTTATATCCTTAATAACTCGCTTAGAAATTAACAAAATACAGTTTATCAAACCAAAGCAAATATTTACACAGGCAGTCACCTCAAAACTGAGGATTGATTTTATAGTTATTCTAGGATGAATCTTTCAGATGTATCCAAATTAACCACTTGTCTTTCTTAGAAATAAATGTTAGTAATGCTTCCTTAGCCAATCAGCTGCAAAGCTACATACTATTCTTTGAAGGAGGAGTACAGAAGACCAACTTACTTCCTGGGACATATCGGGGAGGGATCTAAAAAACCAGCTGTTGTGATGAATGATGAGGCTCTCTCTTTTTTAATAACAAAGCAAAAAACAAAACAAACAAAAAAAGGACAAAAAAAAAAACTTAGCCTGACTTGTAAAAATAGTAATTGAAGACTTTTACACACTGTCACTTTGGCTAATTATGGCAAAGCATTAGGGACTACTCACATCATTAAATATGTCAAGTTAAATTATTTGATTGCAACACCATTCTCTCAGTCTTGGTACTTTGTTGCTTAGACAGTTTGATTATCTGTTCACAATTTTTAATGCAAGATGAGGAAACAGTGCTGGCCTAGAAATTAGTAGCCAATTTTTCTGGTACACTGAGAGGCAGAGTAAATTGCAATGAGTATGATCAATATCTTCACTTTCTATTGAGCCAACTGTAAAATTTTGGGGAAGGATGCTGGCAGCAGAGCTATCTCCCAAATCATTGTATCGAAAGCTTTTTTAACAGACTGTTTGAACACCTGGAGCCCTGGTGGCACAGTGCTTAAGAGTTATTACGGCTGCTAACCAAAAGGTTGGCAGTTCAAATCCACCAACCTGCCCTGGGAAACCCTATGGGGCAGTTCTACTCTGTCTTATAGGGTTGCTATGAGTCGGAATTGACTTGATGGCAAGGGGTTCAGTTTTTTGGGGGTTTGGACACCTAGTTAAACCTTAGTTTCTGATAATGGAAGTCTATAGTTTTGTTACATAATATATTCCTGAAATATGTGTTCAAAAGTTGAGTATGTGGAAGTTGAATAAATTTATATTATAGTCATTGGTTCTGTTCCTAGAGAATAAAAAATTACACCTCACCATTAGAGACATTCTTTGATGACATGGGTCCAGGGTTTCATCCAAATTATTTCAGTTTCTTCTTTTCCATTATGAGTGAACACACAACTAACCAGCTGAGATATTCAATGACCGTCCAATGAGGGTATAAGATTTGCCACCTTTGCTTTGGCACTCCTAATCATTTCCTTTCATGTCTCAAATACACCATGTTCATAAGACCCATGCTTTTCATCAGCACTTTCATGTTTATGTTTCCACTTATTTTCCTATAAGAATAAAATGCAATAAAATATTCAAAGATTGCACAGTGTTATACAAATAAACACGGTAACACCATTGGCTGGTAGTAGGTTTTGCCATGTTATTGAGCTAAATGCTTGTTCATTAGAGACTGTACAAAAATCTAAATTTGCATCCAAAAGGGACCTTGGAGGTATTGAATATACAAAAGTAGGTTTTGTCAAGTCAAAAGTGCTGGAAATGGAGACTGAGTATAAATAACAGGAAGGACAACCATACAAATACAATTTCTTGTTCTCCTTTTATCTCACATTACCCTATTTCTACTACATAAGTGACAAGGAGAGTAAGAGAATCATCGAAGGAACAATTGCAGGATGGATACTAAGGGCCAGGCACCGTAATTGGTAATTTGCACAAACACTCTCAAGACGGACATGGCCTATAGTGTATTTTATGTCATAAATGAGACTCAAGACTCCAGAGGCTGTTCAATAAGAGTCCTTGTTTGCCAAGTCACAGAAGTCCTAAACTGGACTGAGAAATGAGAATAAGAAAGAATTTTTAATTCTTAGAAAAGGATTCAACAAAACTGTACTTAAATGAATCATGAATAGCATGGTTTTTATCTATCTGGGTAAGATGGAGAATACATTAAGTTTAAGGGAAACCACCAAATTTCTGATATTTTTTAAAGAAACGAGTCTGATATTTTACTGTATGTTTAAGTATCAAATTAAGGATGTGTGCTTTGAAGGTAGATTTATGTGCTAGGGACTCAAAAATAATAACAAATTTAAGGCTTTACGTTCTCTACATAGATTGTCCAAGCCTAGGGTGATAATAGGTGTTGTAGGGAAACAGAGAACTACTTCTATTTTAGGATTCTTTGTTCATCTTCTGACCTTACAGCAGAGATAAAGTCAAGGATCTTCTCTCCTTATGGCCAGAACAAAGACCTATAAAGGCCACAGAGCAGTAAATGGGATCCCTAGCATCCCAGGCTTCTAATTTCTACCATTTTTAGATGTTCCCTGACAACATCACTGTTAAAAAAAATACCAAAGTATAAATACTCAAATTGAGAAAAATACTTGATAATCCCAAGCCTGGGAGATATGGAAGAAGGAAGTTTCCAGAAGGCCAACAATCAGTCATTGACTGAATTTCTACATCTGGGCCATTTCTTCAGTGAGAGGGATTGGCTATTTGGAGATGAAAAGTGTGGTGACCCAGAGTCAGCAGGCCCAGATTCTAGACCCACCTCTACCTCTAACCAACTGAATATGCTTGGTTCCAGATTTTTGTGAAACACCAGGCTTGCTTCTATGTTAGGAATGGTTAGGACTAATCCCTGTATAAATTCTTTTCCAGTCTGTTGTATGTGACCAGCCCTGACGTTTAAACACTCACTTGACTCCACAGCAAAGCTGAAAAATTATTTAAAAATTAGGATACTTATCATTTTACTTGATACTATAAATCTTATCACCACCTCTAGAAACCAGGCTGGAACTAGCAAATAGTAAGGTCTAATGGAAGTGCATTCCAGTAAAATCACTTGTAAAGTATACTTTTGATCAATCTTTTTAGGCTTCTGACACATCAAATTAGAGGTAAGTATTCCAATTAAGTTTTCATCCTTTTGGCAAACAAAGATTGAGATACTTGGCAATGGTGAATAAAGTCCTTGGTTTTTCACTTCTTCATGCCTTGATATTGTCCTCTTCAAGGATAGTCCAAACCAGCAGAGCCGCAACAATATCAGCAATGAGAGTAGGTTTTAAGGTCAGCAGTCATGTCCATAAAACTCAATGTGAAGACATTAACAGGCTGAAAATCACAAGTCTCAAAAGTCCTGGATTAGGCAAATTTTAGGATGTAGAATCAGCGACCTCTGGGTGGAACAGGTGGAGGAGGATGGAAGGTCTCCCTGGTTGGAGGCCTGAAATAAAAGATACAGTAACTCTATTTAAAACCTAATATCATTAAGGTTGCCCAACACTAGGAATGCAATTAATGTCACTGAATTGTACATTTAAAAATGGTTAGAGTAGCAAATGTTTTTGTTATATATTTTAACACAGTAAAATTATAAAAAATAAATTTAAAAAAACTAGTTTGTTTAAGTAGTTCTTAGGCATCCAAAATTTGTTGCAAACTTGGTATACTATATATATTCCTCAATTAATGAGACCAGACATACATATAGATCTCTGAGTCTATACATGTTAGCTGGGGCTCACGATTCTGGATGCACATTAGAATCACTTGTAACCAGTTGCCAATGAGTCGATTCCAATTCATGGCGTCCTCATGTGTTTCAAAGTAGAACTTTGAACTTCCACAGCGTTTTCAATGGCTGTGATGTTTCAGAAGGAGATTGCCAGGCCTTTCTTCTGAAGCACCTCTGGGTAGATTCAAACCACCAGCCTTTTGATTAGTAGCTGAGTGCTTAACCATTTGTGCCAGCCAGGGAATCCTGAATCACCTGTGGAACTTTTAAAAATACCATGTCCCAGGCTCCATCCCAGACCTATTCCATCATAATCTCTGGAGGAAAGGGCTTGAGCATCAAAACTTTTTAAGAATACCACCAACCCCACCCCACGCCACACCCACCCCC